GTATATAAGGAGAGATTTTTATACGCCTTCTTCAAAGGGACTTGAACGAAGTTCTTCGGATAGCACCAAACTCTTAGGTATAAATCTTCATAAACATAAATCTCAAGAAACTTCTTTAGATGTAACTTGAACTAAACCTCTTGATAGAAATCCCCATAAACAGTTTTAGATATATCTTGAATTAAACTTCTTAGAGATGACTCGAAATGAACTTCTTTAGTTATAACTCGAACAGAACCGTCTAGATATAGCCAGACTACAAGTAAAAGGTAACAATATTAAGAAAGGAACTAAGAAATTTGTATAGGAACCAGATAAAATCTCTAGTAATTCTCTCCTATTTGCTGATGATTTAAAAATATATAGGATAATTAACTCAATTGATGACTGTTATCAACTGCAATCTGACATTGATTCTCTAAATAATTGGTGTAACAACAATAGATTGCCTCTAAACATAAGCAAATGTAATATGGTTACATATACTCTAAAAAATACTCCAATATTGTTTGATTACAAAATACAAAACATTAGTACCAACCGTCTTGTTAATTTCAAAGATCTAGGGGTCAATTTTGATTCAAAATTTTCATTTAACAAACATATTGCTGATATATCTGCTGGGGCGTCAAAAATGTTAGGCTTTATTTACCGTTCTTGCAAAAATTTCAAAAATATTGATACCATCAAAATATTGTATTACAGCTATGTTAGATCAAAACTGGAATATTGTTCGATAATTTGGAATCCTTTTTATGCAGTTCAAATCCAGCAACTCGAAAATATACAACGGAAATTTGCAAAATATCTTATGTTAAAAAATGATGGGCTTTATCCTCCCCGTGGATACAATAACTCGCAGTTATTGAGTAAATTTGATTTACCAACGCTATTAGAGAGAAGATCTTATTTAATGTTAATATTTTTGTATAAGTTGCTAAATAATAGAATTGACTGCTCGGAAATATTAAATAAAATATGCTGGCGTATTCCGAACAAGAACACTAGATTAAGAACATTATTTTATCTCAACCAAAGTAATACCAATTTTATGTTAAAATCACCAATCTACAACATGTGTGAAACATATAATAATCTTGCCAGTTTCAATTATGATATTGATATATTTGGTATGACCTTACCCAAATTCATTAATTGTACTCGTCAATCATTGTTTTAATCATTGTTTCAATTTCATTGTTTTATAAATCATTTTTTCAATCATTGTTTATTGTTTCAATTTCATTGTTTTATAAATCATTTTTTCAATCATTGTTTTAATTGTATTGAAACAACATTGTTTACTTTATTTATAATTTATATAGATACTTTAATTATATGTTAATTGCATTGTCTTGTAAATGGGACTACCTGTTAGACAATAAAGCTTATTATTATTATTATTATTATTATTATTATTATTATTATTATTATTATTATTATTATTATTATTATTATTATTATTATTATTATTATTATTATTATTATTATTATTATTATTATTATTATTATTATTATTATTATTATTATTATTATTATTATTATTATTATTATTATTATTATTATTATTATTATTATTATTATTATTATTATTATTATTATTATTATTATTATTATTATTATTATTATTATTATTATTATTATTATTATTATTATTATTATTATTATTATTATTATTATTATTATTATTATTATTATTATTATTATTATTATTATTATTATTATTATTATTATTATTATTATTATTATTATTATTATTATTATTATTATTATTATTATTATTATTATTATTATTATTATTATTATTATTATTATTATTATTATTATTATTATTATTATTATTATTATTATTATTATTATTATTATTATTATTATTATTATTATTATTATTATTATTATTATTATTATTATTATTATTATTATTATTATTATTATTATTATTATTATTATTATTATTATTATTATTATTATTATTATTATTATTATTATTATTATTATTATTATTATTATTATTATTATTATTATTATTATTATTATTATTATTATTATTATTATTATTATTATTATTATTATTATTATTATTATTATTATTATTATTATTATTATTATTATTATTATTATTATTATTATTATTATTATTATTATTATTATTATTATTATTATTATTATTATTATTATTATTATTATTATTATTATTATTATTATTATTATTATTATTATTATTATAATTATTATTATTATTATTATTATTATTATTATTATTATTATTATTATTATTATTATTATTATTATTATTATTATTATTATTATTATTATTATTATTATTATTATTATTATTATTATTATTATTATTATTATTATTATTATTATTATTATTATTATTATTATTATTATTATTATTATTATTATTATTATTATTATTATTATTATTATTATTATTATTATTATTATTATTATTATTATTATTATTATTATTATTATTATTATTATTATTATTATTATTATTATTATTATTATTATTATTATTATTATTATTATTATTATTATTATTATTATTATTATTATTATTATTATTATTATTATTATTATTATTATTATTATTATTATTATTATTATTATTATTATTATTATTATTATTATTATTATTATTATTATTATTATTATTATTATTATTATTATTATTATTATTATTATTATAAAATGCCTTTAACTAATAATTGAACAATTTAAACTATTAAGTGAATAGTTTCACAGAGACTGAAATTAATATGGAAAGGAAAAATCTTATTTAACATATTTAAATATAGTTAAAGCATAATATCGCTTTCCTCTTTCTAAAATAATAGATAAAATTATATCAAACGTGTTATCCATGTGTTATTCATGTGTTGAGGTTATGTACAATATTTGACATTTTAATTAAGAAATCTTTGTACGAAATATATATTTTCAACAATATATCGGTATTAAAGCTTACCTTATAAAATCAGACGGCCAATAAGAATATTAAAAGACAATTAGTAATGTCCAAGATAATTAAAAATTTAAATCAACTTATTCGTTGACAGATACAAATCTTTTTACGCAAGGCATAAACGACAAATGACATTTGAGTAGAGATTCCTGTGCCAAAATAACGAAAACGGTTCCAACCGTTACAAAGTAGCTGTTGGTAAAGGGGCTTTAGCGGACTTTTTGTCTTCTTCTTTGCTCTTGGCGACGTTCGTCCTTTGGGCGGCTGGGTTTGTGGAGCCTGATGTTTTTGGGCTCGTTTGGACCTCTTTTGGACCAGTTTTGCTCTCCTTTTTTACATGTTCCGTTTCCGTGATTTGGAACTTCATACATCACATCCCAAAGTATAGTGACATGTTCAGCTTCTGGAGTTCGGTGTATCACCCTTCGTCCACGGAGATGTTTCAAGTTTGGCCTTTCTCTATTGGAGTTGAGGTTAGAACCTTCCAGAGGTTGATTTTGAGGGTGTGGTTGATGACTCTCAGTCTGTTAAGGACTCTTTGGGCATCTAGCCTCTTTTCACCCTCGTCTACTACGTACGTTGTACATATTCTTGGTTTTGGGCTACACCTTCCCATGTCCTAAGCGTCGGCACCACCTCCTTTAACCATTGTGAACTAAGGCTGTCTGCACAACGTGCTACTATGTATCGTGGCCTGTATGTGCATTTGGCGGCAATACGCACATGTGCCCCTCCTATAAGGATACCTTCGCAGGCACTTATAAAGAATTTATCGGCAGATTTTTGCTGTTCCGTTTCCATGAGTGCTTCTGGAAAACCGGCTCTCACCACTGCGATCTTTGTAGTGATAAGGGCCCCTTTGAAGTTTATCCCTTTAATTTTGGCCTTTTTTCACTTTTCGATCTGCAGAAGTGTTGCCTTCTGATCTTGACCTTCTTGTGGTTATTTGATCGACCTGACTGGCCTTGGTAGTCGAAGTTTGAGGTGACTTAACTTGGGATCTGCCAAAGTTTTCCTATTCAAATGTATCATCAACACACCAACAAGAAACAGATGACAGAAATTTAAGGTTTAATAAACACGAAAAGATAACAATATTATTTTCTTTGTCATTTTTAAGCAAAAAGTTTTCTTTCTGATTGGTTAAAATAGGAGACTACTCAATTGCCATATGAAATTCTAAAATATTTTTAGGATTTTTAAAAAGAAGAGAAGATCAGCATTGTATATATGTTGCCTCAATCTTATAATGTCCTTTGTGGTTAAGGTCTCGACTGCAGAATTTTTAATTTCGTAAATTTGTAAGGGTTTTTCACAAATGTCCTCCACAGCATAAGCTTAACTGAATTACTCATGATTGTGATCCAAAACTGATCGCACTGTTGTATCGTCAGACACAAAGACAAAGACGAACTAAAATTAATAATATTTGGCGATAGTATACTGGTCTTCCTTTGGGATTTTTAAAATCCCACCCCAAAGATAATCCTTTCATACCTTGAACTAAAGCTAATTAAAAGACCTTGATAACAGTCAGCTATTTTTGTTGAATCTAAATCTCGAGAATATTTTAAAATCAATTTCATGAGACATAATTTTTGGCATTAATAATCTGATTAGAGCCCGAGAGCTTTAGCTCGAGGGCTTTAATTAATTGATTATTATTGCCAAAATTATGTAGAATCAAATTGTAAAATGTTCGAGAAATTCAGCAACAACAAAAATAGCAGAATATTAATAAAGGTCGTGTTATATTTGGAAGGACTATTTCACTAGACCGATATTTGGTCTAGAGAGATAGTCTAAAATATCTACTTTACTTATGTGTATGTATATCCGGAAAAACAGTACTCACTTTTTCCCGGAGAAACACGTTTTTCCCGGGAAACGGGGAAAAAAGTAATTTCATAAAACGTGACATTTTGTTAACTAAAAAGAGAGATAAAATGTCAAACTTTCCCGTCACAGAAAAAGATAATAAAAATAAACATAAACTTAATTAAATTATAATTTTAATTATTTTTAGTTTTAGAAACAATTGGCAGTTACTTCGAAAAACATGAATTCTTATTACGGTGAAGATAATTCCGAAGATTTGGACAAGGAATGGGAAGATTTCACTAAGCTTTTGGATAAGAAAAAAAGAAATAGTTCACAAGGATTTTACCCATGTCCGCCTCCGGAAGATGTCGAAGACTACGTACAAACTATTGTAAGTTCCTTTAAACTTCAGCTTGGAAACTCTTTAAAGCACAAGTGATACATTTGTGTTTACCGATAAATAATAGTAATTTAATAAAAATTTGTGAGGGTGACATGGAGGCAAGAGCGGGACCTGCCAGCAGAATAAACAAGTTTCTATTCTTTATAAACAATGCAACAAATATAATTTAAGGCCAAGTTCAATTTTGTTTGACATATAATCATGATTTTTTTTAGGTTAGAAAATTGCATTATCGATTTTTTTCATTCGAAGTAATAAAAGACGTCACTTTAAATTTCTATCTCTTTATGTCAACAAATTTGTAACACGATGAATTTATAAAACGTATGTCACTAATGAATATGTGGTGGCAACTGACGGCAACACTGTCAGCTACTTCATGGCTACTAGAGTACATACAGGTCCGGTATAAGCCATAGAAAATAATAATTTAATGTTTTGATCGAGTTAAATAAAATATCAAAATTAAATGTTTATTTTTAAGTAAACATTTTTAAATGTATATGTCTTCAATCAAAAATAATATAGGCTAATACTCAAGTGTATTATACGAGTGTACTGGACAAGAGATAATTTTACCCTTTACTCCAGTTTTTTGTAATGAAACCAGCGGTAAAATAGATATTTGTGTACCAAGGCTGTGTTTTGGCCGAATTAGACATATGCGTTCAAGTCTAAGCTAGTTCTGGTTAAGTATAAGAGTAATGGGCAAGAAACGGGTGTTTAATCAAACTTGACATCGAGATAGATGTCACATAAGCAGGTGTACTAAAGATGAACTTTGCAGGACCAAGCATCAGATAGGTATAACACTTGATATTCTGAAAACTATGTGAATACTACACTGAATAAGAATGAATGGAAGTGTCAGAAGGAGGCTAAAGGCAAAAAATAGACGGAACAGAGCCTAATAGATAGATAAGTAATATTTTAGCCAGGAGAGAGTCGATGAGTGTTATAAATATAGTTAATTTATGAATATATTTTTAATGTATAACTTCAGTTTATTTTCATTTTTGGTATAAAACTATGGCTGACATAATAAAACTCTTAAAAGTATATATATTTTCAATCTTTATTAATATACATTATTTAGTATTCATTTATTCTCTCTGACCTAGGGAAAAGGTCAGAAAACCCTGGTCATAATTGTTTACAATGTTGCCTGTTCCTAATGATACAAAACATTACAGAGGAATGATACTTAGCCGATGAAATCTCATCGAGTTCACGCATGACATATTGTAATATGGAATATGGCTATCTCTGATGCATCTGCAGATTTAAATTTATTTTTGCGTAAGTACTGTTTCCTATCAACTGGTACCCCAAATTTATACAAGCCATGTCTTCGCACCACAATGTGACATAACATCAAATCTGCTTGATCTCGTACCATTTTTTTTAAGTATCAAGGATATTCTTGGTGTATCTGATCATCATGTTTCGAGTCATTGAACCTAAAAAATAACAAATATCAATAAATAGAATTCGGAATTTATTCTAAAAATATTTTTGGGAATTATATAGGATTTCTGGTTAATATACTGACAAACTTTTAAAGGTGGTAGGTGCATCAAAATAAACATTTTTTTGCTTATTAAAATAAAAATACTTTTATTGCCCAACAAATTAATCCATTTACATAACAAAATACATGAAATAAATGTTAAACATAATATTTCGACAGAAAATAATTTTAGCAACAGCAAGAAAAAGAAAAGAAATAATCCTAAATTCATTAGCTACAAATTAGTACAACTAATGGTCGAAATAAATATCCCAATCAGAACAAAATTAATTAAAATTTGAGCACATTAGCGTTATAGGTCAATTTCTTCCCAAGTTCGTTCAAATACTTGCTGTATAACATGTATTATGATAACTAATGGCTGTTTGGGGAACATTAAAATTTATTTAATTTATCAAAAATAGTACATCAATAGTGTTATGTAATATTTTATAAAAAAAATGTAACACTGGAAACTACCCTCCTTTTTTCGAAAGAAGCAGAGATTCTTCAATACCTCGAATTGGATACAGCTCATCTATTTTAAAAGAAAGGTACTTAAAAGATCGCCGCTGAACATTTTCCAATGATCTTTTATGAATATTGTAAATAAGGTTCCAGACAAGAGATGCATATTCTGGCCTGGAACGAACTAAAGAAAAGTAAGGATCTCCAAGCTTTAAGAGTTTGTAAAAGAACGAGTATTACGAATTAAGAACCCTAAGCTTTTCAACGCAGAAGCAACCTCGGAAGCAACGGTATTTTCAATATAATCCGAAAAAGTAACTTTTTGGTTGAATAATATACCTTAATCTTCAATTTGTGCCACAAGTCCGATAAAGGTAGGCTGTTAAATAAATAATCAAACTCCACCTTGTTATTACTTCTAGTATATGAAAATACTTTACATTTAGACACATTCATAAACAGCTTGTTTCATTACACCAATTTTCAACGATTCGCAAGTTGGGTCTGTAAAAAGTAAGTCTTGAATTGATGAGATTGAGGTAAATATTTTTAAGTCAGCAGCGAACAGCAGGTTAAATTTATTGCCAAGTCATTTATAAATATACCAAATAATAGTGGCCCCAGATTGGAGCTCTGTAGAACTCCAGATGTTGCTGTGAGGGGTGAATATGAAAATCCGTTGTAAAAGACATAATTAAAACGATGATTTAGGTAAGATGAAAATAATCTCAACAGCGACTGATCAAACCCTAAGCTTTCCAACTTCCTTACAAGAATATTGTGATTTCGAATTATTACAAAATACATTATGGGCAGGTTGTACAAAAAATATTCTAAACATATTTTAACTAACAAGAGTTTTATTTTTAACTAGTTATATTCAAAAACAAATGTCATTTTTAAAACTATGTTTAACAATAACCGATGAATATACAACAAGGTTCACAGTTTAAACTAAGTCTACATTTTAACTGCCTATTGTACAACCCGCCATATGTACAATTAAAAATTAATTGTATTTCTTTAAAATGCACTTGATTCTGTTGATCAAAACCATTCGATAAAAAAATTTAAAAGTATTGGTATAAAGGTGGTTTTTATATCTATGCTATAAAGCATGCATTGGGGTAGCATGTAGATTATCAAAGTATCAGGTCAGAGAGATTAAAATTAAATAACATATGTAGTGGGATTCTCATTTCGTCTCCTATCGAGACTCCTATCTTTGTTCGACAGACAGCGATTTTGATGTAATGTCTCTCTCTATTATGTATGTAATGTGTCGAGTTGGCACAAAAGAATCTCTGTCCTGATCAGAAGAAATTAACCACATCAAAGGAAGAAAATTAGGTCCCCTGTTATTTTTAATTTATATTAATGATTGTTAATGTTTGCCTTTGATGTCCTTATCTATGTTTCTTGTAAGTTGTAAGGGTTCAGATAACTAAGAGTTAATAATTGTCAATGAAACTCTGCAAAATGTTTATAAATGATGTTGCAATCATTTGTTAAAAATCAACACAAATACCTAAAACAAAATATAAGCTGATAAGAAATAACTATATGCAGTTTGTGGACAAACAATATAGGAAATTGGAAGAAAATCTATACAGTTAGTAGAAAAATTCAAATATTTAAGGGTAATTATTCGGAAACAGATGAAATTCACAGACCATATATGCAAATACTGTTATCAAAACAATTGCAGTTAAATTACATTTCCTACTTAGAATGTTATTAAAATAATTGTTATATTATTACATTATTTTTTACTAAATTTGAATATTGTGATATTAGCAAACTAGCCAAATAAAATTAAAATAAAAACCGAAAACATACCTGGATCTACAATAATATATATAAATAATATAAGTACATTGCATCTTTTAAATTATTAAAGTCCATTAAATTGAAATGACACGTCAAACCATAAACGTCAAACTTTCAAAACAAACATGCTTGTGTTCCAAATAGAAAATAGCATTTATAGAATAATAATTTATTTACTTGCAACCTTTCCCCACACACCACCTCGCCCCTCACCCATAAACATGGTCAAATTGGGCTAAGCCATTTTACATTCGTCTGTATAGGGAGCGATGTTGCAATTTTTTTAATTTTTAGTGTCTATTCCGTCAGTTCAGATGGCAGCATCTTATTTTTTAAATCTTATCACAAGAATCCTGAAATAATTAGGCAAAAATAAAAGAATGTATGTTGCGTTTTAACTTTTAAATACTATAAAAAATGATGGAAAGTCCATAACTTTTAAATATTTGTTAAATATCACTTATTAAAATATTTTGCATTAAAAGTAAAACAAACCATAGACTTTCCATCATTTTTTACAGTTTTTTCAACCCATTTATGAAAACAGTTTTTGAAAATATTATCGTTCAGAGCTGTATTTCTTGTGATAAAAAAGTCGCCGTCACTTGTCATTGAACTTGGCCTTAATAATAAGTTGTGAAAGGAACTGTTTAAATTGAGTGGTGCACTATCTGGCGGCAAATTAATGAGATTATTTTACTGGCTAGCCATTTCTAGTTATTTTGCCGGGCTGGCAAAGAAAAGTTGCGTTTTGACTTCTCTATAGAGACGTCAAAATTGAGTTTTCTGTTGGGAGTTTTGTGTTTGTGTAGAATAAAAAAAATATATTTTCGCTTACACGTTAGCATGTACCTAGAACAATTTAATTTGCACTAATTCTTTGATTTAAATTTCAATAATTCATTAAAAATTATGTTTTATTTATATTATAAGTATTATTAACATATTACAGAATAAATATATTTACTTAAATATGTTGTATGGAAAAGGTTCGACGTTGGAAAACCACAAAAGTAAAGCATGTTTGAGTGATAACAGGTGATTTCTGTATTTAGTCATTAAATCCAGCGAATAAACTTTTTATGCACAGGTAAGAAGTGGCAAAACGAATCATTTTCCCTTTAAAGGTAAAATTTGATGTTTGAAACTTTATTTTTTATTTTTGGTTAAAGTAAAATTA